CGACAATGCCGCCAAGAGGGGGGGGGGCAGAGCTGATTGCTCAGTTAATTTGATGGTTAGGTTTCGATAATTTTAGTCATGCAGCAACAGTTTCACAGTTTTTTCAATATATCTAAGTTTTATACGTTAGGAAAGAGTTATATTTGAAACTGTTTATACGATTATACATGAGAGTAAGAAAACAAGGACTTGACCGGAAGTCATTTTAAAGGTTAGTAGTTTTCAATCTCAACTCGAGAGCTTGCAAGAGTGAAAAATATCTTTATTGCGTTGTTTAGACAATTACTTGTGATTGGTCGGTCAAAGTGACCGCTATCTTTACATCCTTCATATTACCATTGTCACTCTGAAGGTAAAAACTATCTCTAGGACTAACGACATGCTAAAGCAGCATCAATCATGTTGACCCACGTGATGCTGTGATTGATTAATTAACATACCTGACATTCGTATGCATGGGACAAACAATATCGATGAAAATAGGTCAGGAATGTTGGTAATACATTTAAAATACCTGTATGAAATTAGCTGTGAGTTCGATAGTTTAATCATTCATCTTGCGATACCACCATTGAAATAACTCATGAATGAGTGTGTCATAATCTAGTGACCTCACCTGATGTTTCTCGAGGTCATCACCATGAGCAGTTTGCATGGACAAAACGTCGCAGCTGTTCGTCGCTTTCCTATGAGTCGTCCAAAGAAATGCTTCTCTCCAAAAGAAGATCTTACTCTTCCATTTTCCTTGATGTTGTCTACTGACCTCGTGGTCAACGTTTGTCGTATTATGGATCACATGACAAGCTCATGGACTAAATGAGTTGTTTCCTGCACAAACAGCTTGTTTAAGAGGGCTATCATTTTTTACTTCTCTTCATACGTGCTATCCAGAAATGAGGTAGCTCAGGAGGCATTTTCAATAATCGTTGTGCGGTCACTTACCAGTGAGGAATGCTGTATGATTTAGATTTCAAGACAGTACAGTGCAATGTGCTTTTTATAATTGAGACACCTGGCTCTCATGCTGGTCCTCGGCAGCTATTCATACGGTCTTGCTAGGAGAGTTTGCTTTGTGAGTTTTGCCTGTCTCACTCTGATAACATCCGTATCATTTTAATTCAGATGTTCTTTAGACAGAAGCAATTTTGCCTACGATGCAGTATACGGTGCTGTCTGTCTAGTAGCAAAAATTGTGTGTTGCAAAAGTGCAAATCCAAACGTTATGACAAATCATAGATTCTGCGATGCCAAATGACCAGGGTGAGGATCTTAACAGGCATAACAAACACATTTTGGCGTTTCGCTTTCTGGTACATCAATGATCAACAGGGTCGTTCGCAGGCAAGAACGAAAATCAGTCCTACGCTGTTCTCTCAAAAACCGCATTTGCCGAAATGCGGGATCGGAGGCCGTTCGATTGAAGCAGACTTATTGGCTGTGAGCAATAAGACCATTGCCAGAACCGCAAAAAATTGCCATTTTAAATTTGCGGGTACTTTAAAAATGGAGTCAATTCCATTGCATTTATTCTTAGATGAAAAATGTGACAGCTTCAAGTTTGGAACCAGGGTCTTTTCTCAAGCGTCTGATCACCTCGTTCTATCCTAGTTTTATGTTTTCGAACTCAATACGTTCTCTCCTTCTGAAATAAAAATGACAGTTCAATGGTTCTAGACACACGAAATAGACAAATGCTCACATCTTTATTCGATTTTTCAGCCAGACCACATTGGCTATCCTGTGGGCAACATTGGTTGTCCCGAAAATGGTCAGCAAAGCATGGCTGAAAAGCCGACAGCTTTAAAACCAGCAACAAAGTGATGCGAGGCGCACCTGTCACTCGACTATCATGGAATCGTGGCCTGCTTAAATGGCTTTCAGGATAAGCAAGGTCAAGGGGCGCTACAATGTGATCTTAAAGGAGGTAGGTTCTGTTTGAAAAATTTTGTTGGATATAGACCTCAATGAGAGTAATAACAAAATATGCGGACATAAGCGATGAAATCCAGTTGCTTCAGATTACCAGGTAAGGTGAACAAGATGTGAACCATCGGCTACCGTCTTTCAGCTCAAATAGGTTCAGAACTAAATGGTTCCAGGAACGACCTACGGGGTTTGTTATGAAAGACCCTCTGCAAGATCATTAAGGCCGCGATGTCACAAAAAACTTCCGACGACCTGCCTGATCGAAACTGACTTTAAAGTAGACTTTTCGCTACAGGCTTCAGGATTTTAATACCAGTTCGCTGACGATGATCACAGGCTGTCTGGTGATGATGTAGGTCTTGACATTTTCCAACAATCGATACAGAACTTTGTCAAAATTTGACTTCGAATTGAGGGATTATTCCATTGCTCATTCATCAGGAAACATAATCACGCCTAACGGCTGACTTCTTCCTCTTTCTTGGAAAAAGTTCAAACAGTTTTGAATTCGGCTGGATGAGTGCTTCAAAGTAAGCGAGACACAGCAGAACATGTCTGATTGATGAGTCGGACGAAGTTGCACTGCCTCAAACCCAAGTTTTCGTGGCGATGATCATGTGGCAGCCGATCGCCTCATCCGAAGCGGACATTCGAGTGACCGGAGGTATTATTAATGGCGATTTATTAAACGGCGTTGAGGAGAAGAGCGTTTTTGACTCAGTCGTTCGACCGGTGCTGATGAACGAGTTCGATCGCTCAGTGATCCGTTATGTGTTTAAGCTGTTCTGCTCGAGTTGGTACGAATCCGGCGTCGTCGTCGCGTGATTCGACAACGAGAGAGGACGAGATGCAAGTCTGAACCGAGGCATGGTTGAAATCGAAAAATAAAACTTTATGACCTTTCTTCAGATGTCGGTCTTCTTTGAGTTCAACTGACGGGAGTCATTTGTGTCAGCTTTTTTCATGGAACTTATAGTGCGGTGGTGATCTTCGTGCATGTTCATTGTCCAGCAATGACTTTTCTAAGGATAGTGCCTTTGGCCATGCGGAAAGTACAGTTGGAAGCTTTCTGTTTCATTTCCCTCAGATTGATACTCATCCACCTGCTTTGGAGGGATGATAGCCGAGTGACTTGACCGACACTCGAACTCGATACCTCTCGATTTTGCGAAAGCGACGTTTCTAGCGAACAGCATGCCATGTCATCGAAAACCCTCAAATCGACGGCCAAACCAGAAAAACTAATTCTTACCCGTTGACGGACGGGAACTGAAGCATTACATAATGCACAAAATGGACCAACGCGTCGAAACACACCTCTGCAGACCAGTTCTTGGCTTTAATCACCGGATGATGACCGAACGAAAGAGGCTCTTTCCGTTGAGTTACAACCGCGGAGGTGGTGAACGAGGCTCTTCGAGGAAAATTTATTACTGCAGCATAGACGTAACAGCAAATAGACAAAATAGACGAACTGGTAATTAGATAGTTGGCCGGCAGTTTATTACTTTTGCTGCACTCGTCTTACAAACTTATAGGAATGAAAAGCCAGCCGTTTTACGACTAGACAAATTGCCACGAAGTGACTCAATTCCTAACCGTTTCTAAAAATGTACGACGAGGAGTGTATGAGAGCCATTTGTACCCTTGGATAAGAAAAATTACGTCAATGCCTGTTGCAATGCCG